GCTACTCTCCCATATTGCCCAATGATTTCTAGGGAGAGGGACTCAAAAAGAGCCCGATAGTTTGGTTTATGAATGATTATTGGAAACATTAAAGAATCTCGCATTCGCGTGTCATTTTACATCTCATTGAAAGTTGTTTGATGTGATGCGATGCGATTCATTTTTTTTTTCTGTTTTTGATTGTTTGATGGAATTTGAGGTTACGATGGAAACCACCGTTTCTAGTGGCACTTTCGGCCGGATTTTCGTTTCAAGAGAAAGGTATCTCTGACGATGAGATTATCGCTGAAAAATCCATACCACTGCATATGGATGAGACTGGCGATTGGGAGGTTCGCTTCGATTGCTTTCATTGCTCTGCTGCTGCTTACAGTTTAAGAATATTTTCTGTTGTTGAGCGAGTGACTCTGTTTCGAATGAGGAAGTGTATGATCAATACGTTATACAATGTTCATAATAATGATTGTTATTATTATTATTATTATTATTATTATTATTCACATATGTGTTTTGACATTGTTGATGGAGAAAATTATTTGAAGTTGGTAGCCGAGCAAGACGAGTATCGTGTGTTACGACGTCCGTTTGGTGATGAGAATACGGGTCTGTACGAGTATCGGTGCACTGGAACGTATAAGTAAGCAGGTTTGATGTGTACAGGGGTGTAGCAGTTATCATATTAGTACATGAATATGATTATAAGCATAATAGATTTGTAGTAAATTGTTTGACGCTCCCAAAAATTTGATAAGATTCATTTGCTGAGAGCCGTCCTCGTATGTGAGATGAGGCGCATGGCGGCGATAACAGGTGAATCGAAACAGTAAGAAGGTGATGATGTAGAGAAATTATTAGCTGATTATGAGCAGTTAGAGATATTAGGATGATGTTTAACGTTTCGGTGTTATGCCATCTTCAGGAATCTATTGTTGAATGATAAGATTTTCATTAACATAATTTAATGCAATCACAAGATTTTCAAGTTCTTCAGGATCATCTTCATTTCTGTTTTTTTTTTTAAATTTTAATTTGGTCATTGAGGATTTGAATGAGTTAATGTGGGGAATGATTTCCTTTTGAATTGGAGAAGAAAAGGGTTAGTCGATCGTTGATGAAAGAAGAAAATTTGTAGTGATATTACACCGCGCGATTTTGTGGATACGCAAATTGATTTGGAGTATCGTCAGAAATGGGATTCAAATGTGCTGAAGTTGGAATTGTTGTACGACGATAAAGAGAGTGATTCACAGGTGATCAGATGGATACATAAGTTCCCGTATCCGATGTATCCCAGAGAGTATATCTATGTGAGGAGGAGGTGAGCTTATTGTCTAATCATTATTGATATTGATTTGTTTGATAATGTTGGTGGTGATGGTGTTGCGGATTCATTTGATTTTAAAGAAGAAGTTTTGCTGATTAACCAAATGGTGTTTATTTCGGTTCGAAAATACAGCGAGCGGTTGGTTCATTGAAGTAATGAATGAATGAAAAAATAAACGAACAATAAGAGATATATAGCAAAACTCAAGCAGATACAAGCGAAAGCTAAATCATAGCCTGCTGCTGGCTCAGGCTCACAACATTAGTGGTGGCATTGGTAGACCAGTCGGTTTCGAGTGAAACGTATTGGTACACCAGCCGGTTTCCTGCCTGAAACCGGCTGGTGTACCAATAAAAAGTGACAAAAATATTAAGTTGAACTTCGAGAGTATACATCAATTTTTCACCGGTATAATATGAGTATTGTATTGTATCTTTGTTTTGGATGCATTTTCATTTGGTATTGATGGATTTTTGTGGATATTCATGTTCGTTTACATTTGTTGATATTCATTTGGTATTGAGGGTAGCAATTGATTGATATGATTAGCACATGAAAGTTTGTTATTTTCGTTATGTAAGAGGGTGGATACAATTGCAGATACGTGGACGAAGAGGATCGCAGTGTGGTGATAGCAAGTAGTGCCCTCGATGAGAGTTTGCTGCCATCGAGCAACAGTTTCGTTCGAGTGCAAACCTATCGCTCGGTTATGGTTGTTCGAGCACATCACAGTTTCGACGAGATGGGACTGGATTATGTGCTGACCTACTATGATAATCCTGAAAGTAACATTCCATCGTATGCGTACAATTGGGTGATCAATCGTGGTGGACCGATATTCCTGCAACAGGTTGTGATTTTCATTTGTTTTGTTTTGTTTTGTTTTGTTTTTTCTTTGGAGAATTTGATTTGATGGTTTTCGTCTCATTTGATTTTGTGGGTACTTGGACAATTTGCCTAATCGTAAGCACAGTTTGCCTAACGGACGGTTTTTTAAATGGATATTTTGCGGATAACAGGCAAAGATGCGGTCATGAATTTTGCGGATTTATTCACTCATTGCAGTTCAGTGTTATTATTGAACTCTTTCTTGTAATTATGATCAAATTAAATTATTCATTAGAGGCATATTTTTAGTTATTTTTCTGTTATTGTTTACATCATTAATGATGAGTATGTTTTCTATGAGTGTTCTATTGTCTTTATCATTACTTTTACATTGTTTTTTTTGTCGTCACTGTTGCATCTTATGTTTGTGTGTATGTGCACAAATCAGTAAACTTCAGCAAATTTTACCCGAAAATTCTTTCAACTTTTTTATGTGTGTCTATCGCATGATCGATATATTTATTTTCCTCCTAACGATATGTTTAGAAATTGAACGATTGACCATGATGACTTTTTTTTGTGAAGGACTCTATCGTCTAGAATTCTAGAAAATTAGAAATAGTTTTGTGAAGCGCAATTTTGTTTTGTATTTTCTCGATGAGGTTTTCTTTATTTTGTTAAATTATCGTAAAATTTGCTGGTTTTTTTCTTCCTTTTTTTGCTTTTTTGTTCTCAAATCGAGCAGCGTAGAAGTTTTAGATGTATTAGACGTGATCATTTAGCCTTAAGCTTCTTTCATGAGCACAGAACTTATTGCGATTAATCAGAGGATTTAAAAAAAGGAGTGATTAGGTTGTTGTTTAATGATTTCTTGATGTCATTTGAATTTGTTTCATTCTGAAACAAACTGAAAAGAAATTAATTTTTGAAACAAACGAATTTTTGAAAAAAAATTATTTAAGGTTCATGCAGCTGCATTGGAATTGGGGAAAACACGTTCGGAAAGTTGTTTGGCGAACAATTTGGCCAAGAAAATGGATGAAATAGAATCGAAGATGAGCACTGCAAATGAGGCGGAATTCGTGAGTGGTGCTGTGGGTGAGGGTGAGGGTGAAACGGGGCTTGAGGCAGAGATGAGAAAAGAAATCGAAAATCGTGAGATTTTCGATGAGCTGGCCGAGAGAGCAGGCCTACAAGGAATGCCAGAGGGTCTGAAGACTTTACTGAAGGCGTGGCATGATCGATTGACATCATGCGAAACACCAGAAATGTTGTTTGACTAGAGCGATGAAGAAGAGAAGCAGAAGAAGGATTACTTGTAAAATATTGTTTGGTACCGATGAGCAGACTGAAGGAAAATATCATTTGAGGAATCAGCTTGAAATGGGGCGATTCGATTGAAATGTTAGTAGAGAGAGATGCATTGAAATGATCGAGAATGCGCGATTGTATTATGAGAACAAGATGAAAAGCAAAGGAAATGGTGAGTTTTGCATTTATGTTTTGTTTTAAAGAGATAGTAAATGCGACGAAACTAATTAGAGAGTTGTTAACGGAAATTTGTTTTCTTTCAACTAATAGTGAAGCGAAACGAATTGCTATCGGAATCTGCAATTTAGTTATGGTTTGTGATAGTATTGTTATGATATATTTGATAACAAATCATTGTTTTGATGATTTGTTTGCTATAATATTAAGTGAGATTGGTTTGGCCAGTAATGAAGCTTTAGAAATGGCGAATGGAAATATGCAACAAAAAGAGAATTCAAAAAGAATTTGGTTGAAAAATGTTGATGCGTTGGGTAAATTTGCGGTTGGCATTTTTGAATTTTGAATAGAATGGGTTAATCGAGATAGCTGATAGTGAGATACTATATTGATCATAAGTGATATTGAGTGTGATTAGTGCAATTATGTTTGTTATTGCTATGGCCTGAATTTATTGTGGCTGTGATGTAGAGTTTAGTTTAGATTGACATGAAATAAGTATTGCTTTTCTCGATTATT